ACACCCACATGTCCTCCACGTCCCCCTCTGCCCAACTCCCCCCTCCCCCTGCCAGTTCCCAGCGCTGTACCAGCAGGGACCCAAGAACGTGTTTTTCCACTGGACCACCATCGCCATGTGGATCTTCTACAGCTTCTCCCAGTCGGTGCTGCTATTCTGGACCTGCCTCGCCCTTGTGCTGCCTGTCGCACTCACACTCACATGCCCCTCCACTTCCACCTGTGTACCCCCTCCCCTCGGTCCCTCCCAACCTGCAGTTCCCTGCCCTGTACCAGCAGGGACCCAAGAACGTGTTCTTCCACTGGACCACCATCGCCATGTGGATCTTCTACGGCTTCGCCCAGTCCGTCCTCCTCTTCTGGTCCTGCCTTGCCGCCGTGCTGCCCCAGGCGTCCCTCCCCTCCGGAAAGCTCTTTGAAATGAACGGGCTCAGTGCGACTCTCATGACGGGCGTGGTGGTGGCAGTGAATTTCCAGATCGCGCTAATAACGGAGCACTGGACGTGGATCACGCATCTCTTCATCTGGGGTAGCATCGGTGTCTGGTACCTCTTTCTCGGGGTGTACTCGTATTTCGGCCCAGATTGGTCCACGGATTACTACTACATTTTCTCCGAGGTGCTCGCCCCGAGCGCGCTCTACTGGCTCACCGGCCTGCTGCTGCTACCAGTGATGGCAGTGCTGCCGTATTTCGTGTTCCGGGGGGTGGAGTCACGGATAGCACCACCGGACCAGCAGATCGTGCAGGAGATTGTGAGGTTGAAGCAGGACGAGGAGGCTGCCAAGGCGGCTGTGGCGCCGCCGCTGGCGCCAGTGGGGTTCACAGCGGCTGTTGAGGCGGTGAGCAAGCGGTTGAAGAAGGTGGAGAAGAAGCGGCGGAGGCGAGGGGAGAAGTGAGGTGTGCGGTGGGGTGGTGAGGGGGGTGGTGCGGTGGAGCAGGGTAAGGAGGTGGTTGTTGGAATCTTGTGGTACTGCTTGTTGCTCCGAGTGGGTGCATGGCATGGCAGTGGGGGCGGTGGGGTAGGGACTATGAAGGCACAGGCAGGGAGAGGCAGAGGAAAGTGAGGAGGCAGGCTGCGGCTCTTCTGCAGGTTGCTGTTGTGTTGTGATACGGTGGATGGATCCGTTTTCTGCTGTAGTACACAAGTGTATATGTATTGAGTAAAGTTGCATGCCGAATGGGTGCAGGGGAATAAAGTTAAGTCGGCATTGACATGCATGCCGTATCAGCATCACCCCCCTAGTTAGGTACGGTATTTGCTGATCTGTTGTATGAAGTGGATTGTTGTCTTAAGGCAATATTCTACGGTATTGCTAGAGGCAAAGAGCCTTATATACCCGGCTAATACCGTCTCCCCCCGGATATACCCCCATGGGGGGCAATAATAAAACAGGTTTTTTCATGGGGGTGGGCTTATAATCGAGTAAATTTATAAGCGCCGGCGTTTATAAAATGACATACACATTTTTTATATCTTTTAACACCAAACTGTAGGTCTCGTGCTTGCCTTTTCAATCGAGTCGAAGTTACATGGGATCGTCTGTGAAATTCTCGCGCGCGCTGGGAGATACACCCAATCTGACTCACATCCAGCTCCTGACAGGTCCTGCTGACTGGACCCGCATCCAGTGCAGGGTCCGAATGTGAAGGGAACCGAATCTGCAACATATCCGCCTGCTAAAGTAAAAATCGTTACAGCTTTTTGAACACATTTCAAATTTTAAAGTTTACGTGCGCTTATAATAAAACAATTTTTTTCAAGGGGTGCGCTTATAATCGAGGAGGGGATATAAGCGCCATATGCCAATTAGAAGCGCCAGGCGCTTATCCTAGGGTGGCGCTTATATCCGGGGGGAGACGGTACCGTAAGGTAGACCCGGGGGTCTATCCCGGGAAAAAAAAGGGGGTGGGTGAAAATTTTATAGACCTGCGGTCTAATCCTGTATGTATATATATATATATATTTTTTTGCAAAGTTATTACAAACACGAGTGTTTCAGCATAAGGAAGGTCACCATTTCGATATCACATCAGGAAATTCTTTACCACGCACTGACGGTCAAATTTCCAACCAGAACATTGTTTGCGCTACCTTGATACTAAGAGTCTCGCTACAGTTTTGACGAAAACGAGCTTACATTGGAGGGGGTCTAATCCGGGATGCATTACAAAAGGGGGGGTCTATTATGATGTCAAACTATATATGTTGGAAACAAGTACGGTAACTTAAGCCCCTCTGTCGTGTCGAAAAACCAAGTCAGAAGCGAAGCTAAACATATCGACGCATCAGCGAGTCAACCCTAGGAGGTTGAACAACTGTTGGAGGTTACGCGAAAGTCAAAGGTCAGCGACCTTTGACCTGATAAGTATCGTCATACCCCGGATATACCCCCATGGGGGGCACTAATAAAGCGTATTTTTTTTAGGGGGTGGGCTTATAATATAGTAATTTTATAAGCGCCGGGGCTTATACAATGACTTATATGAAATCTAGTTGTTTTCACTTCAAAATGTTCATCTTGTCATTGCGATTTCAATCAAGTCAAGATCATAGTGGGTGTGTGTCAGAATTATATTTATTATAACTGCATGAAGTTCTAGCTGTAGTGTAGTTATTAAGTTTGTAGGTGGTGCACCTCTTCACTTGTTTCCTTGCTATATGTACTTTGAAACTATAGTGAAGAACACATTCTCCCATTCCTCTTCCAACTCTCTCGATACTCACCCTAGGTGAAACCCGCTCGACTTTCTACTTGGGCCTAGGCTACTAAGCCTAGGCCCTAGCTTAATCTACTCATTCTCGTTCACTTCTTCTCAGTGTGAAGAAGAACCTTGCGTAAGTTTGCTAACTGCCAACACACACAGTCAGAATGAGTCATTTCGCCCCATGACAGCTCATTCTGACTGGACGCGCAGTCAGTTGAGTCGCGCGAGGGTGGGGCAGTGAGTCGCGCGAGGGTGAAGGGTCGAAATTTTATCAAGTGAGGATGCAAATAGTGTGTTTCGCTATAGAGATTCCAATAAGTTTATAAAAACTAATACAAATGGTGGCTCTTATAATACGTAAGCCTTCAGGGGGTGCGCTTATAATCGAGCACCGGATATAAGCGCCACACGCCAATTAAAAGCGCCAGGCGCTTATCCGCGGGTGGCGCTTATATCCGGGGTATGACGGTACATCGCGACAGCAAGGACAAACAACTGACTCGCTATTGAGCAGTTGCCCGAGTCGTCACTGTATCGAACCGCAACAGCAACAGCAAAACAGTTAGGGCATGTTCCTACGCTCTTATCAGGCAAACCTCTTGTCAGCCTTGCCTGGTAAAAGTAGCGAGGGTTTTTGGGTTTAGGGAATTTTCAGTGTGTTTTGACGTGAGCTTGATAACAGGTTGGCCTGATAAGGGGCCGTAGGAACATGCCCTTATTAGTTATAACCCTTCATATTCCCTTGTACTCTTATAAAAGGTTGTATCTCTTTGTTTTAATCAATCTACTTTGCCCTCACACACCAACGCAAAGTGGTTCACAAACTTCTCATTAAACGCTTCCGCTATTACATTATTCTACTCAGAGTTTAGTCCTGCAAAGATCCTAAGGGCTTTTCTCGGCCCAACATGGTATGAGAGCTGTTAAGACAAACTCAACTACGATCAAGGCACTTAGAACATCACAAGGCATGGCAACACAGAAGGAGAGAAGCTCCTCTAACGGCTCTCCCGGTACTACTCCTACTCCACCTCCTGCCTCTGGTCTACAGACAGAGGAAGTGACAGCAACAAGACCGGCAGCTGGGTCTACCGAAACTCCCGCAAATCAAGCCGCGGCCTTCGACCCAGACATGATGGAGAAATTCTTCTCCTTCATGTCTTTCTACGAACAACACCAGCAAGGGGCACCTGCGCAGTCAAACAACAGCAACAACAACAACGCAACACTGATGAGCCTCGACAATTCATCCTACGCACGAGGAAATCAACAACAACAACCTACCTTCGCCCCGTACGAACCTCAGCGCGGTTCCGTCAGCTTCATGCTGCGCCAGCAGCCTTCACCTGAGCAAGAGAAGACGTTAGATGCATTTCAAGTTCAATCGCAGTTAGTATATGTCTTAAAACAGCATACGTCAAGACCATTCGATGGAAATGACTTCTTTACCTGGTCATTCGAATTCGAGCTGATGATGGAAGGCGCGAAAATTCTTGGCTTCTTCGACAGGTCCCTGCCATACCCAACACACGGGACGCAATACGACAAGCAGCAGTATACATATCAATCCATGATGGCGTTGTGAAGAAATGAGGAATGAAGAAGAGAGGGGGTTCACTAGCAAACATTGGGATACATATAGCAAACCCTAAAAGGGTTGTACTCACTATAGAGTACCCCACTGCAGACTAGAGAAACATAATATTCTGACACACCCCCATAGTCAAAGTGGGGTGTAATCAGCACAACAAGCACAGCAGAACAAGCTCACGGTGGATCACAATGTCACCACACATTCTGAGCACACGTACAAGAAGCAACAGTTTAAAGTTCACAAATGTAATCAAAGCTAGAGGCTATCGCAGAGGGCAAGTGTGGAGGAGGAGGGACTATGAGAGGAGAGGAGGTAGTGGGCGGCAGCTGAAGCTGCTGGCACACGGCGCAACTGGAGCAACTGGCACATGGGCAACTGGAGCAACTGACACATTGGCAACTGGAGCAACTGGCACACGGGCTACTGGAATAACTGGCTCCGCGACTAACTCTGAGTGGCAGGAGCAACGGACTCACGGGCGACTGGAGCAACGGGCTCACGGGCGACTGGCGCAACGGGCTCACGGGCGACGGGCGCAATGGTCTCACGGGCGACTGGAGCTGCGTGCTTCACGGCGGCCACCCCCTTCAACCTCCCCAAACTATCCCACCCCATTTCACACACCCCCTGCTGCACCCCTAGGTTCACTCACACCCCACCCCCTAACACCACTCCGTCGACTCCCACACACCCACCCCCCTTAGCGGCAGCTGCAGCAGTGGGAGACAGAGGAGGAGGGGGAGCAGGGGAGACCACACACCCGCCACCCCCTACTTGCCACCCCCAAACCCTAACAGAGGGCAGGGCGCGATGGCGGGTAGGGAGGTTACGGGGGGGGGGGGGGGGGGGGAGAGGGGGGGGGGGGGGCGACGCGCAGCCTCCCAGGGCGCCAAAGCAGGCGGTAGAAGGGGCGACGCTCGCCCCCCCCCCCCCCCCCCCAGGTTGCCCCTCGCCCCCGAAGGAGCCGCGACGGGCGACGGGAAAAGGGGGGGGGGGGCGGTGCACGTGCCCCCGGCGCGCCGCGACTGGCGACGGAGCATGGCCGGGGCGGGGCCGGGGCCGCAAGTGGCGGCGACGGGGCCGATAGGGGCGGTGACGGGGCCGCAAGTGGCGGCGACGGGGCCGATAGGGGCGGCGACGGGGCCGCTAGGGTCGGCGACGGGGCCGCTAGTGTCGGCGACGGGGCCGCTGGCGGTGACGACGGGGCCGCTGGCTGCGGCGTCGGGGCCGATAGGAGCGGCGACGGGGCCGCTAGGGTCGGCGACGGGGCCGCTGGCGGCGGTGACGGAGTCGCTGGCGGCGACGACGGGGCCGATAGGAGCGGCGACGGGGCCGCTAGGGTCGGCGACGGGGCCACTGGCGGCGTCGACGGGGCCGATAGGGGCGGCGACGGGGCCGCGAAGGGGCCGCGAGGGGCCTGGAAGGGCGACGACGGGCCGCGAAAGGGGCGGCGACGGGGCCGCGAAGGGGCCGCGAGGGGCCTGGAAGGGCGGCAACGGGGCCGTGGATGCTCTGATAGCATATGAAGAAATGAAGAAACATAATATTCTGACAGGCGTATACAATCCTACTGCGCAACGTCACACCGAACCAGCAGTAGAACATTCAGTCTTACCGAGGATACGGGAACTCCGCTGAGCTCGCGTACAACCACCTGAAGAACATGTATCAGGCAACAGACAGCGTTAATCAAAGTCAGTTAATGGCACAACTGACGACAGTGGAAATGAAACCGGGCGAAAAAGGGATGGCGTATATCAGCCGCTATCGCGAATTGCGTGACAAACTCCTTCGATGCGGAGGGTCGATATCAGAAGACGCCTTCGTCACAGTCGTCATCGGCGGTCTTGGTCCTCATTGGCGCTCCACTCGCGCCATACTCCGAGTGTCACAATAGTAGCTAGAACAAGGAGCCATAGCTAGGGTTTACCTAGCTAGGCAAGAGAGAATTAGGCAAAGGAGGGGTTTCACTAGCAGTAGTTGGTGTACATATAGCAAACCCTAACAGGGTTGTACTCGCTATAGAGCACCCCACTACAGGCTAGATAATGACATTCTGACACACCCCCGTAGCCAAAGTGGGGTGTAAACAGCAGAGCACGCAGTCATAGAGCAGGTTCACAATTGCAAGCAAAGCTAGAGGCTATCACAGAGGGCAAGTGAGGAGGAGGAGAGACTGTGGGGGCGAGAAGATGGGAGGCGACTGCTGAAGCTGCAGACACGCAGGAGCTGCTGGCTCAGTGGCTACCGAAGCAAGGGCCCGGACAACAAGAGTAACTGGCTCCGCGGAGATTGTAGCCTCCTGACTGGAACAACTGACCCACAGGCGACTGGCGACTACCGGAGATTGTAGCCTCCGGACTACTGGCGTTGCTGACGACACGACTGCTGCCTCCACTCAACCTCCCCCAGCTGCCCCACGCCCCTATCACACACCCCCTGCTGCACCCCTAGCTCCACTCCCACGACACCCCCCTAGCACCACTCCTTCGGCTCCCACACACCCACCCCCCTGAGCGGTAGCTGCAGCAGCGGGAGACGAAGGAGGAGGAGGAGTAGTGGAACGTCGCACAAAAACTGCACCCCCATACCCCCCACCCCCAAACCCTAATTCAGGAGAACGGGTAGCAGCAGGGGTGGGGCGCTGTCAGAAGCACGGGGGACAGCGGGCAGCTCAGGGGCAGAGAAGAACGGGCCACCCACGGGCCTGGCACATCCAGACGAACCGCGGGCAGGCGGCCCGAGCCGCGCGCGGGCCTGGCGCAGCCCGTACGGGCCGCGCGCGGGCCAGGCGCAGCCCGTACGAGCCGCGCTCGGGGCTAGCGTAGCCCGCGCTGGCCGGGACGGGCGACCGGGGACGACGGGCTGGTCCCCATCGCCCGTCGAAGCGCCCCCCCGGGGCGACGCGCGGACCGACGGGGCAGAAAGCCGCCGCGCGCCTCAGGGCGCACGGCGGGCAGAGAACCGCCGCACGCCCCGGGGCGCACGGCGGGCAGAAAACCGCCGCGCGCCTCGGGGCGAACGGCGGGCAGAAAACCGCCGCACGCTCCGAGCGCGCGGCAGGAAGAAAAATCCGTCGCACGCCACGGGGCGTGCAACACACACAGTAGCAACGGAAGCAATTAGGTGGGCTCACAGGCCAGGAGCGTAAATGCTCTAAAACCATGTCACAATAGTAGCTAGAACAAGGAGCCATAGCTAGGGTTTACCTAGCTAGGCAAGAGAGAATTAGGCAAAGGAGGGGTTTCACTAGCAGTAGTTGGGATACATATAGCAAACCCTAACAGGGTTGTACTCGCTATAGAGCACCCCACTACAGGCTAGATAATGACATTCTGACACCGAGCTCACAGGAAGATCTCCGAAGCAGCACTATGCGCCGAAATTCATGCTGAGCAGCAAGAGATGGACCTGCAAGAAGAGCGACATAAGAGAAAAACGTCAGTTCCTGAATTTGCGTTTCACACACAACGGCGCTACAACAACAACCGGCATCAACCAAAACCCGTACCTCTGTTCTGTCATCTCTGTAAGACATTAGGGCACCCTCGCACACACTGCCCGAATCGACAGCAGTCAACACCGCCGCAACGGCAACTTCGTCCTTCAAGTAGTCAAGTGACGTCCACACAAGCGCTCCCCACGGGTCAACTGCAGTCCTCAACGACATCATCAACGCAATCTGCACAAGGAACAAGAAACATCGTCAGTTGTATGGCAAGAGTGACTGACTCCTACATAACCGAGTCACCACCACACTACTCACCGGAAGAGCAACTCGACAACAGCACCCCTCGCCGCGAGTCACTTCAACCAAATCCGACGTACGCAGCCATCGCTCAAAGCGAGTCGTCCGGGAAAGATACCTGGTTCTTGGACAGTTGCTGCGGACAGCACATGTGCTCCTCAGGTTGCTGTGAAGAATGAGGAATGAATGGAAGGAGGGGTTTCACTAGCAAGCAGTTGAGTACATATAGCAAACCCTACATTGGGTTGTACTCACTATTGAGTACCCCACTGCAGGCTAGACAAACATAACATTCTAACAGTCGCTTCGTTCAACGCGAACACCAACTCCAACGCGAAGTCGTCATCACTGTCGCGGACAACCAGAACCTGCGCACACGACGACAAGGCGTGGTGCAACTTCAGTCACGAGAGACAAACGTCATATTGCAGATGTCAAAAGTTTTATTAGCAGAAGGACTCGGCTACATCTTACTAAGCGTCAGTCAATTGATGGCAAAAGGCATCCACCTCGAAGCAGATAGCACAACACATAAGTTCAAGTTATACCATGGGAAGGGTGGTCTCTACATCGGGAAGGCGGTCCTGAAAAATAACGTCTTCATCCTCGACTTCGTCCCAGATCTTGGCACCGCTGACAGCAACGGAATCGTCACCTTCACCTCCTCGACACATCCACCGGATCTCGACCCCAACTTCAGTCCCGAAGGCTTCTGGTACTAGCACACCATTCCTGAGGCTGAAAGAACAAGAGCATTAGCAACGACTCAACATTCGGCAGCAGCAGAGACAACATCGGCAGTAGCAGAGACAACATCGGCAGCAGCAAAGACAACATCGGCAGCAGCAGAGACAACATCAGCAGCAGCAGAGACAACATTGGCAGCAGCAGAGAAAACATCGGCAGCAGCAGAGACAACATCGGCAGCAGCAGAGACAGCATCGGCACCAATCGCGGGTCCTTCAACTTCACCGGCTCCAATCGACGGCGACACTCTAACGACTCCTGCGCAGCAATTGAACCCAATACCACGAGAAGTACATCGAAGCGCAAACTTTACCGCAAGCTTCTACTCCAACTCCGACCAGTACCGTCGCTCACATGGACATCGAGCTAGCGAAGACATCTGGCACGCACGAATGGGACATCCAAGCAACACAGTGTTAAATTACACAATCAGAGCAGGAGTGGTCGACAAAGACTCACTGCTCCTAACCAACGGAAGCGAACCTCGACGAGCTCGTGGAACGTGCTTTACCTGCCCCGAAGCTGACTTACCACATCGGCCGTTCGCTTCCCACCACAACCCTAGTACACCAGCTTACGCACCACTCGAGAAAGTGTACAGCGACATCTTGTATAGCCGCGAACCTGGACAAGGAGTATACAGCTACACCATCACGTTCATCGATGCCGCTGATGAGAAACGAGAATGATTGAACTATGAAAGAGTTGGGTACAAGTACTAACCCTAATTGGGTTGTACCCCTTATGGGCTACCCCACTACAGCCTACACAAATGTATAAGCTATAATGTTCTAACACACCCCCATAGGCAAAGTGGGGGAGAACAAGTGGTCACAAGACCAGTCAAGCAAAGCAAAGCAAGCTCAGGGTGAATCACAAAGTCACCACACAGTCCGAGCACAAGAGTAAGGCCACAAGGCCAGTTCACATGCAAGATCATATATATAAAGGTAAACAAGCAAGTGCAGGTATAGAAAGAGTACACTACAAACAAGATCAAGAAGTGAGCAAGTGAGGCCAGGTAGGCACAAGACCTAGCAAAGTACAGAAGCACTAATGATCACAAGGCGGAAGGGCCTTGGTGAAGATATCAGCAGTGTTGGCCTCAGAGGCCACGTAGGTGAGGCAGAGCTGACCACGCTGCTGCAGCTCACGAACCAGGAAGTGGCGGAGAGCAATGTGCTTCGTTCTGTGCTCCAGTCTATGCTCCCAACACAAGGCCAGCATGGCCTTGTTGTCTACGTACAGAACTGGAGGAGAACGAGGCTGCTCTCCTAGGTCAGTCAGCAGGTAGGTGAGCCAGCGTAGCTCCTGTGCAGCCATGGCCCCTGCGTAGATCTCAGCCTCACAACTGGAGCTAAGACCAGAAGACGAGCGGGTAGACCGCCACGAAACAGAGCCGGAGCCAAGGCTGAAGGTGTAACCCTGTGACGACCGCTGCAGAGCCTGGTCGTCAGCCCAAGAAGCGTCAGCGTGACCTGTGAGGACCACTTGATGTCGCCCTCCAAGCATTAGCCCCATGCCTGACGTACTGCACACGTAGCGCAACACCCTCTTCGCTGCAGCCATGTGCTCTGGTCGGTGTCTCCCAGGAGCAACATAGCGTGCCAAGATGCTAAGAGGGTATGCAAGGTCAGGTCGTGTGCAGGTCATCAGGTACATGAGGTAGCCAACAAGCTCTGGGTATGGGCCACTCGACTCTACGGACTCATCCGAAGGCAGAGCTGAGAGCGAGTGGTGAGTAGACAGAGGAGTGGCCTGAGGCGAGGAGTACGTGAAGCCGAAGCGCTGAAGGACCTGCTGCACCATGTGTGACTGAGTCAGGGTAATGGTGCGCTGTGCTCTGTCCCGGGTGATCTGCAGGCCAAGGTAGCTGCGCAGTTCACCCAGGTCTGTGCACGTGTGTCTCTTCCGCAGCTCGGACTTCATGTGGGCGAGTCCAGCAGTGTCAGCAGTGGCAAAGACCAAGTCGTCGACGTACACGAGGATGTAGAACGGCGGCAGAGAGGTGTCGGTGCGCAGAAACAGCGACGGGTCGGCTGTAGAAGGAGCAAACCCAAGAGCTACATGTGTAGTCCTCAGTGTGTCGTGCCACTCACGGGGCGCCTGGCGGAGACCGTAGACTGGCCGCCGGAGGCTCCACTGGTTACCAGGAGGAAACGACCCAGTGAAGCCAGGAGGGCGGCGCAGCCAGATCTCCTCGTGCAGGCTGCCCTGCAGGAAAGCTGTGCTGAAGTCAAGAGAGTGAAGCTCGTAGTCGCGCTGAGCGGCTATGTGCAGCAGCACTCGAAGAGTGGTCATCTTCGGGGTGGGAGAGAAGGTCTGAAAGTAGTCAACTCCCTGCCGCTGTCTGAAGCCTCGAGCCACGTAACGCACCTTGAAC